AAACATAATTTTACAAAATATACACTTTATAACAAAATATGATTCCAAACTATGCTGGAAAGTTTAAGTAAACGTGAATTTGCAAACAAACGATAACTAACTTCACGGTAAAGGATAAACTTACATACGAGTGAATAATAAGGAAAACATTCTGATTTTACTTAATTAGTATAATTATTCATCGGTTTACCGGATAAAGTTTTATGCTAAACATTACATAGCATTTCAACACTTCACAACTATTAATCTAATTAATCATATTTGTTTGAAAAACGTTTTATAGTTTATTATTTTGGAATTGTTGTTTTAAATACCTAGTATAGAACAATTTTGCCGGTATATGGCAATTTAATGAAAAATCCAAAGTCATGAACAACTACATTCAATTTATACACATTTATAACATAACTTAAAATTTCCCATTCAAAGTTTTTTGTCGAAGTCTTTTTTTCATTTCATTTGGTTTTTGCTGAACATTTTTAAAACCAACAAAACATTCACAGCCGAATGTCATATTTATATATTATGTTCGTTTAACTTTATTAAAATTTCGAAAGCCAATTTAAAGTTTTTACATTTTTATTTCGCCTAAAATCAAACTACCTTTTTTAATATAAACTTTCTTTTTAATAAAACGGCTTAAAAGTTCTATTATATTTAAATCCATCATATATATTATATCAATGGTAAGCTTACTCCAAAACGAATATCACGCAATTTTAATTTATCAAAATACTATCTTATTCGAAACAATTTGTGTAATACGATAACTAACGAAATTATAAATAATAAACAATTACTTTTAACGCATTGAATTTGTATGACATAACAAAACTAAAAATATTATGACGAGTTATTTTTAAATAAGGGCTTTCAAGCATGAGTTATTGTAGAAATAGCTTATCATCCCAATTTTGGTAATCACATTTCAGGGAAAACTATACACCGAGATAAATTTATCAAATATTTAAAATGATCTCTAATTAGTCAAGGTTATCTTGTCCTCCCTTTCATGAAACACGCGTCATATTCTATCACACAAATCGTGTTAAAAACCCATGTATTTTTTAATTATTATTTTATTACAATTTGTAGAATACTTAAAGTGATTCGGGTCGAATGGAATACCGTAACATGTACTAGTTGTTTGCACGCAATTAATTTACGTGCAAACAACTGGCCTATATTTGACATGTCTTGCGAACGGTTTTAAAACATGTCTACAGTAAATACTAGTCCACGTCAGAGGAGGCGATACAATGATTTATCGGCCGGCGCACTGAGTATGCAATTTAGGTGCGCTAGGACGCTGGGGGCCTGGGCCGCGGTGGCAACAGGCTAAAAAGGGACAATTAGCCGCAATCCAGAATAATGTGACGGATTGCTGGCAGCAAAACCGCAACAATGACGTATCGTTCGCATAAGTCACGGGTTGGCCACGTCTTCCCGTCTCTCCTTGTCGTATGCCACACACACACACACACGTTTAACGAAACACAACCAAGGCATATGTTTTTGGAAAAAATAAATCAGTTCAAAATTCTACGAGTTTCGAGATACTGCGTTTACGGCGAAATTAACACAACACCGCAAAGAAAATTACTTTCAAGCAAAATTGAATAACGCAATAAAAATTCATCCGTTTTAAAACACAAGTGTCAAAACTTTTTGTTTAAATATTTGAACTTTCGATACCATTCCCGCAGCAGTCAAAATGTATACTTTCCTAAACAAATCTAAGAAAACGTTTTATGTATGTGATTTTTTTTATATAGAGCTGGTAGAGAAACAACAGTGGTTTTAGAAAATAATATAAAATATGCAAACTGTGGAATGTTTAACAAATCAAGAAATAATCTCGTTGCTAATTGTTGATTCATTTATAAAAAAAAAAAATTGAAAATTGAAAATTAATCTCTTATAACCCACACTATGTAGTTGATTTATTTAGTTTAGTATACTGTGTTTACTGTTTATGTAATATAATATTTTAATGTGTGGATTTGCCATTTGTTAATTCTATTCGATCGTGTTTGGTTCCAGAAAAAATTTTATGACTTTTTATAAAAAAAAGTATTTAATATTATTTAGCAGTTATATTTTAATAATCCAAACATGAACAATATAAAATCTTTCTATCAAATAACATTATTTTTCCTTCAGTACAGCATATTTCTTAATGTATGTAATATGCATTGTACTGATACGACACGTGTCAAATTATACGTCATGTCCATATTACATGAACGATGGCTAATAATGTAATATTAAAATACGGATTTCAAATAAACATATTTTGAGTAATCACGCGCATCCTATAGCATAATAATGTAACGGCTTACATGACAGATAATATAAGTATAGTTAAAAGCAAACAAAATTACAGCCTTGAAGTGATAAGCAAACAAAGTTACAAGACAATTTGTAAAAAAATTATTATACAACTTCTAAAAATATAAATACAGTTTAAAACTAGAAAGATTAGAAGATAAGAAGACTATCACCAGTAATATTAATTCGAGTGTGAAAAATATCATGCAACATTATTGCATGAGGCTTAGCCCTGTTTATGGGAATGTTTAGACAGGTTGATTTTTGGCAGATTTCTAGAATTATATGAAGGAACACCTACGTTACATATATAAGGCTACGAAAAAAACTGTCACCGTTTAAACAGCGAAAAGTTTTAAAAATAAAAATAACATCTTAAATGTGCTTAGGCTCCAGAATTCCGATAGTAAATATCAGTTGTAATATGGAGAGTTTCATAATGATGATCAGTTATACAAGTATTTAACTAAAGTGAATATATTTCAAGAACAAAAGAAGAAGTACTAGAGTATAAAACCAAAGTAAATACTAAACATAATGAAAGTGGGTTTTACAAACAAAATAATAAATACCGTTTGTCCACAAAAAAGATAGAGATTGAAAAAAGGTTCTTTGATGTCTTTACTATATAAGTAAACCGGGCGTTTACAATAACGTTTGAAAAATGTGGGCAAAGTAAAGTATACTTTTTATTAGCTTGTATACCTCCTATTCTTTAAGTATATTTTTTAGCATTGAAACAATGAAAAATCTTCTCTATTTTGCAGTATTTAATAACTTTTTGTTGTGTTTAAGAATTATTTTTGAAAAAAATCAATATTATACATCAAATTGTTTTTCACTCATATTATAGTTGTATTGTTTAAATGTATTAATTGGTTAAAGAATGCTTGTATTTGTGTACTCGCTATGTTAAAAAAATAATTGTTTTGAAAGGTTTTATCATTATAATCTATTGAAAAGCACACGATCAAAGAAGATATGGTCTTTGTTGGAAGTTGACAGATTTCTAAAAAGCCTATACTTGAGTATATAATATTATATATTGTTATTCAACTAAAAAAATATGAGACATTATTGCAATAAACAATGTCATTCGTGTAAAATGTAATTATCTATAAAAAGTAGATTTATCATTATCAAACAATTTCTATAATACAAAAACGTTCAACTAATGTTAGTTTTAACAAACAGGAACCGTAATAGTTATAATAAATTAAATTATGTTTTTAGTATTGAAGCCACCATTACGTTGCACCTAATCTTTAATCGTTGGTGGTTACCTCTTTAGATAATGTTTTACACCCTCCTACAAAGATTGTTTGACTAATGATTTTTTTAAATTTTCATCAACCTTACATATCCACTTTACTCGTGTATGCGTAATGCGACTGTAAAACCGGCTTCTTACCAGAGGCCAACGTCATAATATTTTGATAGAGATACATGCAAATATAAGTATTATATTTTTGTGTACATTTTATGGATGACTTCACGACATCATAGCTAAAATACAATATTTAAAAAACGTTTTTTACAACTTTGATATTATTATTTGTGGTGATGGTGGAGGAGACATGTGTCCAAATTCTCACGCATCTACACAATCTCATTGTCAAACTTTTAGTCGTTTACAGTTCAACGTCTGTTTGATTTATAGAAAAAATATCATATTCTTCAACGCACACCGGGTCACAATCACCTGTGCGGTGTTTGACTTGTGTGCGTTTAAACTGGTCTGCGTGCCAAACTTGAAGGTAAAACGTTTACAGGCAATAATAAGTGCTGAACAACAGTGTTCTCCGAATAAGTGAACGGGAATTAGGTGCCAGAGTCTGTGAGAGGAAGTCGAAAACGCTGAAAGACCATTAGAGAAGTCCGGAACTACGATGGAGATTTATTCAGATGGTATTGTGATTGGCCACTTACCGGAACGCCTTTTATTAATCAATCATTCGTGACTGCGGGACGCTTTTAAATTCAAAGTCATACAACTCTTTGCGTAATATTAACTTTATCTACTTTACGAGTGGGTATAACAGTAATATTTTAATACTTCAAAATATTGTTGTTAACATAGCGCATCAAATTCCGCAAGATTGATTAAAGGCAACAGTTAGGCGGTAATATAAATGTTGGAGTAAAAAAAAAATACAACTGTAGGAGTTTAACATAATTGTAAAATAATTACACTTAAATAAAAAAATTATGTACACTTAAGTGTTCAAAGTTTTTTTAAAAGATAAAAAACTCATTAAATAATTGTAATTATTTTCCGACAAAGTTATTGCCGCCTTACGCGCTTACAATGAAACGTTTTGTAATTATTTTCCGACAACAATAACAGTTGTCGCCGGTTTGTAATGTAAAACTTTTTTTTTTTGTATTTTACATTATTCTCGTGTACAGTATTATTGAGGTTCGCAATCGTTCGGGAATGTCCGTTCACAAGAGTCCAGAGGCGATTGAACCCACCGACCTTAATCGTAACGTATGTATCCCAAATGGTAATTTTAAAGACAAATCGTTATTAGACTGTCTGCGAAAACGTGTTCAGTGTGCCTGCACGAGGGGGGCAAGTACAGACCGCCTCGTTTGGTTAAAAATAAACAACGACGGTTTTTTGACCGTTAAAATTCCATAGCAATGAACGAAATCGTATCGCTTACCGACAATGAAGAGCGACTCGACCACGACGTCGCTGACCATGGACGGTTTATCGGTGTTCACGAAACTGGCGTTGTAAGGTACCACGATGGCGACATAGAATGTGGCTATCAATATCAGCCAATCCCAGCACGTTTTGAAAACCCCGTAGTGCGATAATACCCACCGGGACTTTTTCAGGGCGGAAGTTTTGTATTCTGGCAGTGGAGCGGACGAGCCCTGCAACAGCGTCTGCAACAAAACAATGCTAGAAAATTATTTTTAATAATCGCAACTTTTTCAATTATGTTCGGATGGCGATTCCGGCACTGCGGTAGGTATTTATAAGACTGTGTGTGTGGGGTGCGCAAGTGACAAGATAACTGGCACAGAAGCGCGGGGACGGAAAGCCGTTTTCAAAAGATCTTAAGTTTATGTTATAAATCGCTCTACCCCCATTGTACGCCGTTTTTCGAAACAATAACGTGAGCTGAGAATTCACGAGTAAGGAAAACCAATTCTGCACCTCCATAAAGGTTTACACAAAGGTTTGGCACATCCCACCAATGTTAGCCCGCATCCTTCGCAAAGTGCTCAATACCTGGCCACAGTTTAAATTTAATTAGGTCCAAAACGAGGTAGCAAAATCATGTTTAAAATCATAGCTTATGCGTAATGTAGTTTTTTGCTATCAACACAATAATGACACTTCGATTAAGCCTTCTGAATAGATTAAACTCTTAATCGCATAAGACTGCACATTAAAGACTTATGCGTGTAAGTGAATTTTTTTTTTATCTGCTTGACCAATTGATTTTTAGTTTTAAAAAAAATGAAAAAATGACCCTTAAAACCAAAAAAAAAAACTTTTAGTAAAAAAGATAAGAAAATGTTGTTTTGTTTTCATATAAATGTACTACATGAAATATTTATACACATACATTTTTACTTTTAGCAGTATTTTATACGATTATGAACTTTGAACTATTCAATTGTCAAACAAATTCGTAATAAAAACAAAACAGTGTGTGTTTGATGAATACATAAATAATAATGGCCGTAATGTTTTTACTAAAACATTCCTTTCACAAAAAACGACGACTCTTTGCTGCGTAGAGCAAACACATTTTCATATGTATTTTTATTTTTGTTTATAATATGTATGTTATATAAATATTTTTCGAAAATAAAAATTGTATTGAGAGGTTCAATTGTATTTGTTTTTACAAATTTATATTGTTATTTTAAGTAATTTAATCAAATATCGGAGGTCTTAGTAGACTATAAAAGTACTTATTTTTTCAAACAATAAGTATTCAAATTCGATACCTGTACGAGATTCAATAATTTATCAATACCGCCAAAATGTCTATAACTCTAAATATAAAACGATATATTATATAAGGCACCTAGAACACAAGGGGTATAAGTGACATTTTATCAAACTCAAAGTTTACATCTATATGGCGTTTTCGTTTGTGAGTTAGGTGTTTTGCTAGCAAATGATGATTCATATATATTTACCGCCAAATAAAATGGACAATTTGTAGTTTAGCTGTAGACTTGACTCAGATTTTGTAAAAATGTCACTTATACCCTTTGTATTCTAGGCGCCTCATATGTTAAAAATTGTTAATACTGTGGTGCTCGAATAAAATATGAACATTTTCCTGAAGCAACTTTATAGACCAGAAATCGTACCTGAAAGGTATTATAACAGCCCAAAAATTAAAAAATTCAGCACTTCCTTTTTAAAATTAAATAGCCAAACAAATAACATATTTTTTAAATTAAAACACGGTGCTCTATAACTTTTTTGAAATTACTCGAATTAGTTCCAAATTTGTATTAGACATAATACTACCGATAAACGTTGACAAATCAAAATAATATCATATCACTTTTTCTTTATTATGCTTTACTAGGTGAAGTTTTAAGGCTTGAGATTTGAAAATAAGCCCTAACGTTCGATTTAAATTCGGACATAACGTATAAAATTATCTCAAAAATCTGTAGTCAACAATTTTTGTACTTAGGATAACACAAACAAAAAGAGAAAATTAAACATTGACCGTAGTCAATGTTTAGGTTTTTTATGTCTGCTTATACATTTAGCAGAAGACTAATAATGTTTTTTTTAAACAAATAACACATAAAAAACAATATTGTTTTTTTAGCCTACAGCGTTGTGTTGTATATATTATATTGTTGTCATATTATGCTTGTTTGACTGTTGTATTATATCACTTGTTGAGTGAGCATCAGAGGAAATGAAATACGCACCAGCTGGGTCAAAAGTTAGATGTCTAAATGAATAAGGCTACGGTTTATCCTTTGCATTCGGAATATTGTTAACAGCAAATTCAAAGATTAACCACGTAGGAAATGAAACAATCATAAACGACATGCATTGTAGGCTTACCTAGATACGTTCCGTTTCTCAGAAAACCATTAAACTACAATTTTTCGTTTTATAGTTTTACGCACCTCATTTTGTGTAGATAGTGTTTCTGAGGTATAACTATTGCAATGGAACAAGGTCTGTATGACTTAATAGAAAACAAACACTGAAAACTGGAAATTGATGGCATGAAAACCGAGCGGCAGGTTGGCTGAGTTTAATAGACTACTAGAACAACACAAATACAAGGTAAAAGAAAATTCCATTCTGTTACAAAAATAAAAATCAGGAGAATCATTTTTAATTTACACTTATCAGCAGAATATCACGAACCTTGTATGTGACTGTCAAAGAGCTGGCCAAAAAACCATTCGGGGACTAATTATCATTATAATTAAAAATTGTTATTTATATAACAATGGCATTTAAATATATATCTCTTGGGAATATAGTATACACTTATAGTGAAAACACTATACGGTGAACACAATATAAAGCCGAATTTAAATTCGTTTAACCTCTCGCGGGATTTCGGTAAACATTCGAACGCCAAATTTACATTTTATAGTATTCAAATATGTCCGTGCAATCGAGTTGGCGATAAAAAAAACATTCTACAATCGATCAAACTTTTTTTTGAAAATAAATTACTTGAAAGGCAAATATAAAAAGTAATTTGACTGTTTAAAATAATTGTTAAAGGCGTTTTTACTTTTTCCATTCAATTTGTATTTCTCTATTTAATCTGACCGTTGATATGATAAACAGGATTCTTGGTAACGCGTTGGAGTTATACGAAAACCAAGTACCTACCTTTAAAAAAAAGTATTTTGATAGTTAAGCAGAACGAATCAAAATCCATACACAATCGACCTCTTCAAATGTTCGCCACTTCAATATCCTTATTGATTTTCTACTTACTTTATTTAGTCAATAAAGTTTACGCTCGTTGTTCATTTTACTATTTTTCTGTTGCTGATAACTTTTAAAAACACCATACTAACTGCGAAACACATACTATTTACCTAGTAATCCGAAATAATTAGTTGATCATAAATGGTGTACTTTTAATTTACGACTCACATGAACGACTCATATGAAGAGGGTACCTCTTGTCTTACTTATAGTGAGCTCCTACTACTGTCTATTAATACAGTAAAATTATAATATTACTCGACAATTGATGACTGTTGTAACAAACAATATCAAAATGAACGATAGTAAACGCAATTTATATTTTTATTACATAATGGTGCTTTTGGAAGATGAAAATTCCTTTTAGACCGTAACGAATCTTTTTGGTGTTTCAAAAGTACGAGCATTTTTTGTCTTTTTAACTTTTTGCTTCGTCGAAATAGATGGTTCGACATTACCCAAACACGATCGAATTTGTCATCGTAAAGTAAATCGGTATCTGTAAGGTATACAGATGTAAGAAGCTAGAAGTTACGCCGAGAACTTACAGAATTGGAAAACACAAAACTTGGAAATTTAATGTAGTCACGCATCAACTGCACTTAACGTATTCTTCTAAGTTGCCATAAAATATGTTATAATAATATTTCAAAAAAAGTTTTTTTTTTTATTGTTAGGTATAAAATGTCGAATTAGATATTTCTTATATTTTGATCATCGCAATTGGCGCGTATCAACTGCAAAGTAATAATCTTAAGTTTTATACGAGTAGAAACTGACAAATACCAAATAAAAATGACTGTACATTTTATTCTGGCCAGAGTTAAGCACAGATTCAACGAGGGTTTTTTTCCGGGTGAAAATCTTTAAAACCCGTAGCTGAATATTCCAATAATGGTGTAGTACCTATTGGTCTAAAAACAGGCGAATTGTATTTTTACAGAGTTATTCTACCCTTCATAACTGTCCTTCGTGGTGTAAAAGTAATTTTTTTTGTTTAGCTAACAATAGTTTTGTTCTATTACAAATTTTTTGTACAATTAAATCTCTTTATTTAATTAACAAAATATTCATGAATACATAAGTATTTAATACGGTTAAAAAAAAAATTGTTTTTGTACCACTATAAGCTTTTAGCTTTTGATATTCTTTAAATAAAGACTAAAAACAGAAGTTATAAAACTATTATAGTATTCGTACTTTCAAAGTAATTTAATATTTTTATTCGAGACATAAATATTAAGAATCACAAAACTTCTTGGAATATCTAGAATTGTTTTTTTTCAAATAATAAGACTTAAAAGAATAACCTTAACAAGACGGTACTCGTAGCGGGTTATCATGTTAGAATATTCTGCACACGTGTCAGAATATATTTATCACATAAAAATTAAGTTGATTATTAATTTAATATCAAGTTCGAGACTTTTGAAATTATATTTTAGAAACTATTCAACGTTAATTTTAATGTGATTAAATGATCAACTACTTCACTATATTCGCGTGTATTATTTGGAGCTAACCTTTACAGCTATTTTCTATATTGTATAACGTCAAATGTATTGGTAAATCTATTGGGATTTCCCTTATAGTGAACAATAACGATAGAAAATCACGAATAAAACAGTATCATCTTACATATGGCCTTGTGAAGATTGAATAATACATAATGCAGCTGTTACGTGAAATCTCATCATAACAAAAACGACCAAAGCAGACATTATTCGAATTTCTAGAACTGAACTTGATCGTGACAGTGACGTTCCAGGTGAACATCGACATGATAAATGCCACTTCAAACCCGTCGGCAACAATAGTTTAGCGCCTTGGCCGTGTTTTGACATTTAAAACACAACTCTCAAAAAAAAAACAAAATAAACCTAGACAGTATGCTGTATACATAGTATAATATGGCGCACTTCCGAATTTGACAACTTAATTAATTAATTTTAGAAAATAATAATATGGACACAACTGCACCACGGTGTACGTCGGTTATGTGCGCAAAACTGTGATACAATAATTATCGACCATTATAAGCCCGGCGGATGTCCATTCAAACGCAGTGTCTAACTAAAAGTGAATCACACCGATGATTATAACGCAATTTGGATGTCTGCAGCTTAAGTTATTCATGTGATGTGTGTCGTCGTGTGTCGGTTTTCAGCGTATTGGAAAGCCTAATGCGCTCGATGAGATTATATGTGGAATTACCGCGTGTATTTATCTTGTACGTGTGTTCTCAAAGCGCTCGCGGTGACTCAATAACGGTTAATAGAAATGAGCACTATAGCTATACACCACGGTAATATACACAATCGTATACAAAATCATTGAATAAAATTCAAAGGGGCGATCAATAAGAGCGTACACATGTGTATGATACGGAGTGGATTATTTATCCGGAATTATTATTGTATTACGCGCTTTAATCACTAGGTTACCCATAATGTAGAAACTAGTAGACTCAATCGATACCCGGATACTAAGGGAGAGTGCCTTACGCCCGTTATGATTCGGGTACATATTCTAATGTTTATAATCAACGATAGTATCAATAAGGAAATTTTCATAAAATCTATAACACCTTGACTCTGCGGATCTCTGCTCTGTGGATGCATCTATTGTACAAGACCACACTGTCAAACAGGATATCGTACGTTTGAATACATTTTGTAATTTGTACTAAGAGTATTATACGGCAGATGCAGTGGACTTTCGTGCGAACGTAAAATGTCAGTGAAAACGAATCATCGCACGCAGAATTACAAGCCATTTTAATTTTAACGGCGACGTTATAACGCCAACATACACAACACATCTATTTAGATATCATAATCAAATCAAATATATATATATATATATATGTATGAGAGAGAGAGAGAGCTGAAGAAATGTGGGTACTCCTACTATATCGTATACAAAGATCCGCACAAAAGAGAATCAAAGAAATCCAAGCGTTACTGTTTATCTATATTATGTATCAAATATATACAGTGGCGGCTCGTGGTGATTTGACACAGGAGTGGGATAAAAAATTAGAAAACCATAACCCAAAATGATGTATAATCTATTTATTTGAGAAAAAAACGTATAAATATGAAATACTTTTAAAAACAATAGACTTCGGAAAATGTTCGGTAAACTTGTAATTTACACAATTTAAAATTTTTTCTAAATTATCTCGATTTTTAGAAACTTGCTCATTATGACGTTTAATCCCTAATTTATAACCACTATCACAATTTGACTTATTATGTCAATAGTTCCCAAAACTTTGAAATTTTCCTCATTTTGTTGATGTTTAAACGAATTTTCATGTTTATTAATTTTGCTAAAAGACGTATCAAATCTTTTACACCAGTCTTTACTCCGAGTTATCTCACCTCCAAAACAAACACAAGGGGAACAAAATAACGATACAGTAGTTTCAGAGCCACAAAGCAATTTAAACTTGTGATAAAGCCCAGTATTAAAATGACGAGTGTATTCATTTTGTCCTTTTTATGAAATATTAGTTGACGCTAACTTTTAAGTCGGTTTTGTTGGACTGTGGACGGATCCTGACGTACGATGGCTCAAACGAAGCACAAACGCGAGATGAACATTTTTGTGCAAATTTTACAAAAAACGCCCTTAAATTACACTAGTAAGCTCGAAAGTTAGCTGGAGCAAATATAGGCATGTGTTATTCGTTGCGGGAGCGCAAAAAAAAGGGGGGAAAGGGATAGCGTAAAATATAAAATAGGTTTTTTTTTTTATTTATTTATGATTTGATTATTTTTAATTTATTTATTCATCTCTGATGAGACGTTACGTGTAAGACACGTGCCAACATTAAATAATCCTCAATCCCGTTTAGGTTATGTACTTCTACCCAGTTCAGGCAGCTCAGACTCTTATTTAATGGAACAATATTACCATTAGAGCTGACTTAGACCCCTCACTATGCTGGCTTATATAAAAAAATGTACATATTTTATAAAAAAAAAAATAAGTATACACGACACACTGTAAATAGCAAAATACTTTCTTTTTTTTTTTTAAACTTAAGAAGTGATTTAGAAAAAGAATAAAATTCGCAAAATCTAAAACCATATTAGGATTTAACGAGACAGAGATTACAGTGTTATGAAATTCGTGAGAATATTATAGGACATACGATTTCATAACGCATATTTACTTTTATACTTATAGTGAATAAAATGAAGTCAGTACCTATGACAAAACAACTTGCTTCCTACTTTTTTAATATCAGAAAAATATTCCACTTACATCATTTTGTGTTTTCTCTTTTCGAAACTTTCTTATTAATATCATTCAATATTTCTCCAAATAAAATGTATAGTTATTTTCTCAACTCTTACACACATTCTTATATGACCTCACCAATGAATAAAAATACTAACATGAGAAGCGCTCAAACAAAACTATTTAACTTTATCTGACTTTATATAAGATTATTTTAATAAACTAGAATACAGAGCTGAGAGAACGCCTTCAATATTTGAACTAGACTAGTTTTAATGTAATATATTAAAATAAATAAACAAACAAATAAACGCTAAACGTAAAAAAATTCAATTTATACAAATTATTTTAATTCATTTGCAATTGACTTTTTATCGTTAGTTGATTTATTTCATTTATTTTGAAGAGAGTTAAAATATACCAAAAATTATGTCAACCGAGGGAATGGCTCACGCTAACGCTGGTTTGGTTTGTTAAATTATTATAATTTTTTTAAATTCAGAAATTACCAAAACACAGTTCTTTGAAATTATGTTCACAGAATTGAGCTACTTAAAAAAAATATTTATTTACAACGGTTTTAGTGCGTTGTCGTTGCGTTTTATGAAGTGGAAATATAATACTCGGCGGAAAATTAAGGTTCCTACCTAATTCGATAAATTATACTTTGTACACTTGAAAAAACTTTCCGGTATACACGAATACAATTATTTCAAAATACAAAGTTCGACTCTGAACTGGATGTAAAGTAAAAAATCCAACGCAATTAAGTTATTATTATTTTTTTTTTTTGCATGATTTATAAGCTGCATTATATATTTATGAATTTTATGTTATAAAGCGTACAATATAATAAAAACGAAATTTAAATAATAAAAAACATGTATATAACTTTATGGTATATAACCATAAGGTGAAGGCGAAGTTTACCAACGTCGATGGTTTGATTCAGTAAACTTAATACAAAGTTTTTTCGTTTTAATGCTGACTAAGAAAACTAAAAATATTCTTATGTTTAATACTTCGCCATGAAATGTTTTTACGAAGCTTTAATTCATATATATTAGTTTGATGGAAGACATAGGCGAGTTGCTCCTGTTGTTTATTCGCGGCTTTTTCTGATAAATTAGAAAACGTTAATAGTCTTAACCAATGAATACACCTGACCTAGATTTCTAGTTTGAAAATAATTTATAATTAAAGCTTATGTTCGGTTTCTAACAGAGCTCACCTCTAGTTTTGAATGAGTCGATACTTTAAATGGCTTTCCGGAAGTTTTTTGATAATTTTCTTTGGTAATAAAATATCTTTGCGCTGCGAACTACCGAAGAAAATTATCAAAAAACTTCCGGAAAGTCATTTAAAGTATCGTCTCATTCAAAACTAGAGGTGAGCTTTGTCAGAAACCGAACATAAGCTTTAAATAGAAATTATTTTCAAACTCGGATCTAGGTCAGGTGGTGTATTCATTGATTAAGGCTATTAACGTTTCTAATTTATCAGAAAAACTATCAAAGCCGCGATTACACAATAGGAGCAGCTCGCCTATATCTTCCGTCAAAGTCACAGTATGGCGATTTAAAGTTTAAACTATTGTAGACCTGTTTCTTTAGAACAACAGAACCTTTGGAAATTGTAGAGACTTTCATACAATAGAGATAAAATACTGTCAAGAAAATGATGTATTATGATAATCAAAAGCAACACAACACGCCACGTACGGATTCTGTCTTAATTTTCTAATGATGTTTAATACAAATAAAATATGAGCTCACGTTGTTTAATTTAAGCTTGGGTTTTGGTTTATCACTCTTATAGTGACCCGACAACTGGTAAAGTACAGCTCTGCTTCTTCGTCTTCCGTATGCATTGCTGGTAGGTTCTGGTTCTTCGGGTTCGGCTTCCTCTTTAATAACAAAAAGAAAATGAATATATATTAAAATGTATAGTAGCTCAAGACAACAAGACCATATAATTGTGATAATATTTTGTAATTTTACACAAAATACAATAAGTAGAAATTATTTATATAAAAACAAAGTTTCCGTAATAAAGCTTAAGAAACATATTTTTAATGTCTCATCGCGAGTAATTTAAAGTTGTGACATATTTTTTGACAGATGACAACATACTCTGATAGACAATGATGAATCGGTTTTGTGGAATTGCCTTTAGTAAAAGTTCTGTTTAAAATGGACAATATAAATAAAATGTCTCTAAAATACCATTATTTTTGGATTCAGATAAAGTTGTGTAGTTTTAGTACTGCGGCAGTGGGTATAAATTGGAGACAGAAATATCTGTATTAGAAAAAACCTGAATTATTAAATTCCAATTTGATTTTTTATTCTTTACTAAGTTAAATAATTAAATATTTATCATTTATTGTTTGAGGTTTTAAATATTTATGCATCTATATAATATTTGGTATAACGAGGTATTAACTAGTTCATTTACTTATTAGTTAGTTTATCAACTAATAACAGTATTGTATTTAAAATTGGCAATGTCATCATCTTAATTACATACTTTGCCTACTTTTTGCCTGTACTTTACCTATCTAAACACATTAAATACACTAACTTAACCTTACCTAGTACTTTAACCTTATATATATACAGGGTGAGCCAAAAGTCATATGTTTAAATTTGAATGACGTGAAAAAATCATAACATGACTCAGTATACTTAAGTGTATAAATAACACCGTATACAAATGTCTGATCAATTCGCAACGCTTTTTCTTATAAAGGTAAACAATTATTATTGAAATGAACTCAATTTCTTATGCTAAAATAAAAAAAAACATTGAATGTAATTTAGGACGAATAAGCTAATTAGACGCTATTTAAATGTTAACATTTATACTGATATTTGATACAAACCAAATAATATGTGTATAATGTATTTTAGTTTATATCTCAACACAATCAAATATAAAATGGTTCTTTTTTAGTTATCTTTTACAATAATTGTATGATATACGATCACAGTAAATAACTTATTATTCGTCTATTGAAAACAAACGATGAATAATGTATAAATACAAATGCCGTTATTGGACCATCGAGCAATTAACAGATAGCTCACGGAACTACACGGTTTAATTTATTTATAACCCATCAATAATTCATGTTCAACTAATACATTAATGTGATTTTCCGCTGGTTTGCCATGTTGTACGTTTATTCGAGTAATGTTATAATAATTATGAAATGTATTACTGGGTTAATATCGACATGAATGCACTATAAAAAGGTTATGCAGTCGTAAGTTTATTAAAAACGTAAACAATATCAGTACTTGAAAGAAATGAACAGTTAGTGGAAAAGGGATAATATTTCTCAACACCCAACTTTCGGAAAATTAAAGAAAACTGTTTATTTCTTTTATAATTTATAAATGAAGTTTCAACGGAATATTATCCCCTATACGCTCATAATACATTGAGTTTACCTTTCAGGTAAACTAAGCTAACTCAGTTTATTTTTCGTTTTTTTGAAATGTTATCCTTTTTCCACTCCGCTGTTCAAATGTGATTGAAAAAAACCGTTTTAAATCTTTAATACTATATTTAAAGAGGTTTTTGATTAAAACATTTAGTAAGGTAGGTAATAGATAGATTTGCGATTTAGAAGTAAGTACAATATTACATAGAACATACAATATTTTATGTTCCCTTAAATCTCTGTTATAACATATTTTTTATTTAAAAAAAAAACCCATGTGGACAATAATTATTAGTTTAAAATGAATAATAATGGCAGAAAAAACAGGCAAATTTTAGAACTATGTTCTTTAAATAGCTTTTTAGCATTACCACGTCAACTTTTAGTCTCGAAATTTCACATTAAGCCTCATAAAAATATAGAGAAAAAAATGGCTAAAAAAAAAAATTCTTATCATGCTTTTAAAAATAATACTTTTGGCCGCCTAAATTGGCGTTTCAGACCACTGTGCGACGCACCACTGATCAAACTATTTTGAAACCTAGAGAGAGGAGAGGTGTTTTGACGTTTATAATTTTTAAAATACAAATAACTTCAAAGACAATTTTTTTTTTGTAGACAATATTACTTTTTTCTGCAAATAATGGGTACGTTATTCGTAATATTGTATCAGCTGCAGTGGTGTGGTATATAAGTAGAGAAAAAAAACATTCCTTGTGTATAGCGTATACGGGTACTCAGCAAGTTGGTCTGATTGTCAACAATTATTGTTTTTTAGCATAAACTACTTAATAATCGTATAGTATATATTACATAAAATTGTGTCGTCACATCGGTTGTCTGTTAAGGGCTCTCAATAGATAATACGGTTTTCTTTGTGCGGATTATGCGTACACGAGCACATCATTTATTAGTTCTATCCGTATTTGGATACATCCGTGACTAGCGTATTAATTATGCAAAGTGACAATGTGAACTAATTTGAAAATAACTGAAGGAGAACCATAAATCGTGTTTTTTGTAATCTTTTAATTATGAAATATAACAATGAAAACATTCAACAAGAAAACCACGTCAGCGAAGCAATGACCTACCTACGAGAAAATGTTCAATGGCAAGTTTGAAATTAGGTTAATTTGTTCTAAAAATAATGCGGATAACTTGTGACGTCAGCTGTCAGACAGAGTAAGAAGCAACGTGTGGCACATGTATAAAAGGTTTGCAATAGATTTGTCTACGAAATCCATTTATTATTTAAGCTGCTTTTGTATTCCTGGTTAAATCCATTATTCCGTCAGTTTCAATCCGGTAATAATTTAAAATTTATGACATCCGTTCCGTTAAAAAAAAAAATAAATCCATGGTGCATTTGATTATTTCAATTATTTTATTAGACACACTTCAAATACCACTTAATATGTTCTCTATTATGGCGGAATACCATCCAATAATAAATCTAAGCTCCCGCACGGATAACGTGTGTTAAGGACTTATGCATTTACTCGTAGTCTGAATCATATTGTTTTTGTATAGTGGTGTAGACTTTCGAACTGTTACAAATAGTAGCTATGGTTGGCAATTTACCAGAGCAGCAACTGTTTTTGATCGGATAAACCTTTGAAAACGATTTCATGTATAGAAACACTGTCGGAACCAGGAACTAGATTCTAAAGAAACAAGAAAAACAATTTCGTTTACACAAATGTGAACAGTAATTCATACATAAATCGTCGCGTGTGAAATTACAAAATATATTATTTTTGTTTCCAATAAAATAAAGATTCAGAAAATATGTAGACATTTTTTACAGAAGATACAAGCGAAATCAACGATTTGCAAAGTCATCCGATATAGTAACATAAAACTATTGCTATAAGCCTCTTACGAAAACAAATGTACACGATTAGGTAAATAAGGGTAAAAAATCGGCTACTGTTTAATTGTAGGAGATTCTCTCAGTACTAACTTTTGTTGCGTATTTCCTAATATATTAGTAATTTACTTTAACAGTACAGAAAGAACTTTTTATTATCTTTATAATAAAAAAAAAAACGTTACAAATTAGATCAATAACAAAAATTAAATTGTGATTTTTATTTTTACATGATTAGGCTAACAAAGCTTGATGTTTATTGAAATAAGTACAGCGCTTTTGAAAAACTTGGATACGCACCAACAAAAAGTATTGACACGTGGTAGCTGTGAGATAACCGACAATACGTTCATTTTTTGGATGTAACCCATTACTAGTCCTTTTTTTTTAAATAAGTCTTACAATATATATCCCAACATTATTTGTATGGTAATTATTTTTACCAAAAACAGTTTAAAAAAAACATACTCAAAGTTATGGTTATCAAATAGTTAACTACTGTATGAATAATGATATCTTTTACGGTTGTGTAGAACAAAATGTATAAAAGCCATAAAAATAATTTTATGTTTTAGTCAAGAAATGTAATAACCGAATGAAAGAAGCAAGTTATAGTAATTATTTTCTTAAGAATGCGATTAAATTTGAAAAATGGCTTACTTAAAATAGACTTTATACAAACGAGATACCGGCTGTTCAATAAAACAAATAAACGAGAAAACGAACAAATATTTTTGGACATTTTAATGGATTTATCTACTCGGATAAACTGTAGTATAAAAGTTAATATAATATATAGGTAACCGAAAAGTTGCATGTAAATTCATACGTTTTGTATAACAGCCAAATAATTGAAACACATGAATCATTTACATAAACGCATTATCTTGAGAATGTCAAATCCTAAAAATAAAAAAAAGCATTTTGTACTATAGATAATCAAATTCGAAATATCCATATAGTACCAAAAGTCATTCGATTAAGCAGATAACGTTATTACTTAAATGGAAATTTGTAATTGGATAGAATTCTAATTTGTGTTGGATGCGTTTGCCTTCGTTTTTGCGCATCAATTAACTGTATTAAATTATCGATAATTTATGCAAAGGAAACTTTTCTCCGGTGAACTTCGGTTTTATTGACGCTTTACTTGAGTTAACGTTTCTACAGTGTAAACTACGTTAACACGTCGTGAATCAGTTTTTGAAGTATGGATTTTACCGTCTCTTTTCAAGCTCTGCAAACATTCGCAAATTGATTTTGCTTATTTAACAATCAACACTATAGTATAGAATACAATACCGAATTTGTATCATGAGCTCTAAATATATATATATATATATATATATATATATATATATAGTAGTATATTGTTTAAAAGGTATAGATTATCTTTATTATTAAACATATTTTTCTACTTTGTTCCGTGTAAAAGAATTTTAAATAAAAAAATATATTCAATTAGCACTACAAAGATAACTTATTAAAAATAAAAATCTAAGAGATTTAAGTATTCCAAAAGAATGTAGACACCGAAATCCAGCTTTAAAACGAATACTAATAAGCAATTATTATTATATTATTTTCATTCTCGCTATTTTATATTTGCACATTATTATACACATGATGATTATTACTTACATATTTAGTTAAACAATTTTCATTGTACAATTATTTGTTGTATTCTCAACATTGTGTGGTAAATATTGTCCAGAGATTATCGTACAAAATAATATATTTTGCACTATAGGGAAATGTTTTGACATTAAAGGGTAATAATTCAAGTTGGGTTTAAGCAATACCACCACCTCCACAAATCGAAATAATAATGAAATATTATTCACACGTGAGACGCCATGGATGATAAAGCACTGTATGTATTCCCTAAGTGGCATATTGCTGAAAGTTCTCAATAGTTGTATTCAAACTTTTGTACAGGTCTCCAAATTAAATTTGTATTGAGAAATTAATCACGTGGTTTTATATCCATACAGCTACTTCTACTTGTTCGAGTTGAACATCATCTTATTCTGGCAGCAGTTAAATACAGTGCAGTGTCTGACTTTGTAAGATAACAGCAACGTTGTTCATTGCACGAACTCACTAAAGTCCTATCGCGGCGATCCGTTTGCAACTCGGATTTTTCAATACTTTAATACGGGTTAGGTTACGAAATTTGATGAACAACTAATTTAGATCAAGCAAAAATATAAATTTGCAATATTTAAATTCGATCACACCTAAATGGGAACAAACTCTGAATAGTAAATAGTAGTGAGACTCTAAATAGTAAATAATAATTGAATTCTACATTTCACTTAAACTTTAATTGAAGCCTTGCTCCTTAAATAATAATAATAAGCGTAATTAATTTTAAGTTTTTTTTTTCCCATTGAAACGTTGTAAGTTGTGTCTTTTATTTTAATACATTTTAATTAATAGTACATCTAAGTTAAAACGCGTTACTAATACAATATTTGTTTAAAAATCTTTGCACATCATTCATGACAATTTATTGTGCCGAGTTTGTTCGAGTTTAGAAACGTCTAAAAAACATTTTAAAACATAACAATATAATTCGGTAATAGTAACTTGGAATTTATGTAAAGAAACTATTGTCCATGTACTCACTTCAACTGTATAATATATTATACTCAACTGACCTATCCATTTTTTACAGGTGCGAACTCCGTTTTATGTCCAAACGGTTTATCGTACAAATTTGAAATTGTGCAATTGGGTCACTTTTATATATTCCACATACTCTCCGGTGCCCAATAAAACATATCGAACCTGAGTTACGACACATATAAGTACATACCTAACGGATACTCTGTCAATGCGCATAACAAACATTATCTATTTTTAATTAATTCCACTAACTCTACAAAGTAAATTACTCAACATTTTAAAATTTACACCATCAATGTTATTTTTATTTAAAAAAAATATTATTAAGAGCTGAAAAATTATAGTTTGGCACTATAGTCTATATAATATCACAATTAAACACCTCCACAGTTATGATACTATCATATTACTTTAACTTAAGATAAGTAAATAAAAAATATTACCCCAAAGTGTAATTATTATTTACTAGGCGAAATAATGTATATCATAGGTTTAGTGACACAAAATAATTACAAAAACTACTAACTGTTAACCTGACAATTCTATATCCCTGTAAAAATATTCTCGCCAAGCGAATAATTACATTATTGGGTAATATTTTCGGCTTACTAAACTTGGCCTAATACAATATGACATAACAACTTTATAGTGATAAGAATATATTTTTTTTACTTAGCCATTTTTTATACGAAACAAAGTAGAGGGTTCTTGTTGTGATACGCTTATTTATGAAACACTAGATTACTTCAAAATAATTTTGACTACCTATTTATTTTAATAAGACTGGTAAACAAATACACTTAGTGAACTTAATAATATTCAATTTAATATACTTCGATAATTTTTTTATAAAAGGCAGTATAATAAACTAGGTTCCAGAATACAATATACATACCCTTATTAAAACTCGTTGACAAAATATAAAATATCCATTATCGTTAACAATTTGATAATACATTAGACAGTGTACAATGTTTCCATTATATTCATATTTTAGATTGTTCCAGTTAACAATTTTACGGTAAAAGGTTTTTGGGTTTTTCATGATTACCCTTGCCCTTGTTAAACAACAAACCACCTATTAAAAAAAAACCGTTATTAGCTTCGCAGGGTTTTTAGTAAATTAAAAAAAATATCTAATTTCTCAATACATTATATACATACTTTAGTCGATTATAATCTCTAAATTATTATTGTATTAATGTATAAAAATAACTCAAGACAAGAACACTTAAAAAATTCCTTTCCTCGTAATTCAATTTTAACTTGTTCATTATTGACGAGGAACTTATGACCCTATGCATCTTTAATGGAACCTTTAACTAACGAGACTAAAAAATTTATCTTCAAAAATAGTATTTTAAAATCAGTAAGACTACTTAACCGGATCATTAAGAATATAATAATTATATTAAAGGTATTTAATTAAGGTACTTATTCTCAGAACAAAAGGACAAAATTTCTTACCTAAGGCAAATATTTACCAACAAACTAATTTTCCGTTAACACACTTAGGGAGGTTCAATGTTCATTAATCAAAAAGTTTAAAGTTAACAGTTGAAAAAGTGTCACGTCAAAGAATTTATTATGAAAATGGGGTTTGAAGGTATGTCATTATTACGCGTGAAGACTCAAGTGCTAACCACTGCACCATCATAAATAAATGTATATATAAGCTATGATTTATAACTATAATAATAGAATGATTGATACACGATTATAATACTATAAGCTATTTTATACACAAGTGCAATAGGGAAAATATCGAGTAAATTGAAAAAAAAAGCTGTACATAATCCAAAAAGATATTATCAAACATTTTACTGTAATTAATTTATTATGATAATTGATAAGCATAAATTATGAGTACTACACTCAAAAATGCATTTTGAAAGCCAACATTTTATATTTTTAACGTTTATAATAAATGCTTAAAAGTTAAAAAAAACTTCGAAATAAAACTGATAATGTTTGTGTTAATTTTAATTCATATTATTTTCTTTATTAGTACCTGTAATTATAGCATACACTATTAACATTATAGAATAATTAATAAGCTGCATGAGTTTAAATAGGCAATTTCAACAATAATAACCTAGTGGTCTTCTCTAATCTCAATTAATTTACTGTACTATTTTTAATTATAACTTACTAACTAACCAATTATTAATAAATCGATAAATCACAAATAAAAATACAAATTATAAAACAACAACAAATGAATATCTATTAAGGGTTATTCATAGTTAAAATTCTCTTTTAAAATCCAAAATTACAAACAAAACAAAAACAAATAGAAAAATTGTCTACAAAAAAATATATATCAAATTTTAATATTAAATTTTGTCATAGTTTTATTGAATTTTAGTTTTTTAATACATTTATTTGTAGATATCTTGAATTTAGATACTATTGTACTTAGTAACTAAAAGACTTAAAATAAGACGCTTATTATACACCTAGTTAAAACAATAGTGTTTGTGAAAATTCGAAGTTATCTAAACCTATCATCACCTTTTATGTTTGTTATAAGCATATGTGGTAGGCTAAACATATCAACAAACCCCACTACAATATGATATAAACGATTAGAAATCTTAGAAATTAATTAAAATTATCTTAGATTGAGAAAAAATACGAGAAAACTAGTAGTGTATAAATAAGACATTTTAATAATTAGGAAATTCAATCAACCATAAAAAAAATAATAATATTATTTTGGTAAAATCACATTTATAACCTAAATATTAATGATACTTTTTTATTGAAAGGATTCTTTTCAATAAGAACGCCTTCGTTCAACGTACCATTGTGTCTCGGTAAAAATATATATATATATTTTTTTTAAATGACCCTAGTAAATGTATTTTAGTCCTTAACAATCTCAGTCTAAAGCGAAGCATAATAATTTGTTATTCACATTGATGATTCTTATACAATAATACATCATTGTATCAATCGAGTTATTATTATTATATGAGTTTTACCTACTGGGTCACTAAGTTTTGTTAAAACATACTTATGAATCCAATAGAATTTTGTTAATTAAAATGATGCTCTAGTGGTGTGTTATTAATGATAATTGGTTTTGCCTACAGTTGTAGTTTCTATGGTTACCGCGATTAAGTAAACTTTTTGATAATAAAAAATTAAGAAAGAAATTAATAAGTAATTAAAGTTGGTAATTATTTTATTTTAATGATATTATCTGTGCACAAGCTCGACCTTGATTATACATAATTGATTTTTAAACTCATCCGTACATTTTAGCTTATTTTAATAATCCATGCATTATACTTGATTTTCTGCATTCATATTTTGTTTTTCAAGACTTTTTATCGCTATATAAAATACAATGTATAAGTAATCTACAATCAATAATACCCTTTATTTTATTATGAAATCTGTTTATTATAAAAAAAAAAAAAAAAAGGACATCGGAGTTAGTTCTAAAAACTATTATTATTCACCAAGTTCGGCAAGTGACTTAAATAATTTTCTCTACAGAAAAAATACTTGAATAATTTAGGTACTCTATAGTTTGTCGCAAGAAATAGCATTGCTGGTAAAAAGTCAATGTGAAAATTGACATATTATCTACCTTTGTTATCTTAGCACTACACTATTTATGGAGAAACCTCGAGGGATTTTTTATTGTAAACACTAAACTCCGGGACTATTTATTGATGTTGATTTTACCTGGGTCGTAGTCCATGCCCACGTGCATTTCCGCCATTTTCGTATGAGTGATGTCTTTATGCGAGGCCAAGAACAAGACCACTTCTCTTTTTTCATTTTTGATCGGCACAATGTCCAGCAAACACCAAAACGGAGATCCTAAACAAAGAATAACGAACAATGAATTATTTTTTTGGACAGAAACCGTTCGGTTAAATGATCACGAACGGAAATGTACAAATAACCCGTATAAGTGATAAAGCGATGAGTAAAAATAAACCCGTCCCATTCCTAAATATTTATTTTTGCTCCTGTCCAATTGACCCGTTCAGTTTTTTTGTGACCACTACACAATTCAATAGCACTAAAACACACAATCCGCCACACCAAATGTTAGTCTGATCAGACGAATAATGCCTTAGATGTAAACAATTCGTTTCTGTCGATGAAAATAGTGTTGTGTTTATTTTACTGTTTTTTTTTTTTGTATTTGGAGGGTTTTAGATATTGTTTTTTTTTTTGGCTGTCCTTGTTATTTACATAATACATATATTTGATGTTTTTATAGAATTATTTAATTTGATATTGGCAATTAATAATTTTACGTTTGTTAAAAGACAGAGATATTCTTTATTTAAGCGAATAATTAAATTACACTATATCCAAATGACTTATTATTAGTTTGACCTTCAGACTTTTTCACGCAGAATCCTTCTGAATATAGACAAATAATATAGTCACATAATATAACTGAAGCGACCAAATAAGTTCTACTGTAACAAAAATATAATCTAGGATTACCAATTCTGTCTTTATATATCGCCGCCCCGGTAGAACAATGAGGCAATTGCAAAATTAGGTATACATGGATTAAATGCTTCAATGTGTTTAAGGTAGAAGCACGATTTAGAGAAGATATCTTCTGTTCTGGACTGTCAGAGGGCAGTTGCATCGTCGTGGAAATATCAGTTATTTATTAGATAAATCCGGTGCAACATCGCAACATTGTATCAGTAATTATTGCAGTTGCGTCATTGTTCTACCGGGGCGGCGATATCATGTCATGAGTTTTAGTTTCTTTGAAAACCATAATAAAAAAAAAGAAATACCAAATGTTTTGTAAAAATAAAACTCAATTACTCGTATAGGTATCATAGGGGCTTTTAACAAACTTTTTTCCCGTAATAAGGTTTACTTTAAATTTTCAAAATAAATAAGCAATCACTTTCAATGATAAATTAGGAACAGATACTTCACAGATGTAACCTTTCTAACGAAGACGTTATTTAAAGGAAATGTTTCTTTTACCGTAAAACTGCAACGGCTTTAACTGTTTACTTTAGTTTTGATTACATTATAAAAACCGTTTCGAATGTTTACAACAATCTTTCAAACGTATATTTGTTTGTAAAATAAATATTAATACTTATACAACCAAACAAGACTAGACTAAAAAAAAACGTTTTTAGGGAAATTTTGATTTGCTGTAAATTATTTTTGAAAAAATAAATTTGGCTTTAATTGAGGTTTTTACTTAGTACACGTCAACCCATTTGACAATGGTGTAGTAATCTGATACCGACTAATTTCCTACGGTTTTGCTAACAAAATTTCTACATTGACAAACATTGGTAAACAATAAACCGATTTCTATAACAATAAATAACAGTTTAACTGTACAAAAAAGAAACAAAAAGTATTCTATTTTTATTAATGGATAACATAAAAAACTTAGTGCACGTCGATGAGGAAATTGTTTAACGAATCTAATATATTAATTTCTGGTTTCATGTATTTATTTTTTCCATTATAAAATAATAATTACAATGAAGGGCAAAAGTATTTATGTATAAATAATAAGAAATATAATAAAAATTCAAATTACATTATTAAAAAAAAATGTGACATTCAGCCCATGCAAATAATAATATGGTGCAATCAAGCAGACGATTTTTATTGATCTAATGTAGTTTTATCCACTAAGATTTTTGGCTTAACGTTTTTTTTTTCCATTTGATATAATAATAATAATTGAATACAATGGTTAAGTAGGTACATAAATACAAAATTAATGTTAGCAGCCTGTTTTTTTTTTAAACTAAGTCGACAAGAACAAAAAGAAAAAGTTCAATAAAAATAAAGTTTTCACTAAGCTAATAACAATTGTAGTGCGTGCATCATTTTATTAGGCGTGTAAAAAATATTATGTAAATTAAACATAGGTAATAGAAAAAAAGGCCAAAAAGAAAAACTATATTTTCAGTGTTTTTTGAGATAACATTGCCTTCGAGTTCCAACCAAAGCAAAGAGTTAAGTCGACCACGACAATATTGAAAATGCGGTATGTCACTTATCTGGGTGACATTTGATGTGGCCCGTCCAAAAGTTCTCCTACAGATAATCACTTACATTTCTGTCAACGATTTAATTTAAAAGCCATTGGATTCCAATAATCGAACCTCTGCGATTGACAACAACGAACCCCTGTTGCTTGCAAGGAATACGATACACATATAAAATGCGTTACGGAAAACAACATATTATTATATATTTTCCTTTGTATTATTTAAATACATCAACAAGGATGTTGTTAAGCTTCAACACTTTATGTATTAACAATAGGTTTGAAACTTAATGAAACCGGAAAAGTGGTACTCGTATTAATGTCGGTACAGATTTTCTACGCGATACACAATATTACGTTACCGTTATAAGGCATGTGTGCATTTATACATTTAGCTCCAATGCGGAGCTAAGAAGGTATTGTTTTTACAACGATATGTTTTTTTTTTTTTGTGTCTGGACCCACGAGTTATCTTATAAGCCGCTGAACCGATTTCTGTATGTAGTAAGTCTATAGATCACAAGTAGTACCCGAAAGGTACAGACATTTTAAAAGTTATCCCCATTTCATAAAATAGAAGTTAATGGAAGTTCTTGTTTTACAAAAAATGTATTTCAACATCATAGATTATTGTTGGATCTACCATGAGTCTAATTATTATTAGGCTCTACCTGAGTCTTGAAACATAAGAAAATAGCTTTAGAAAATAGACTATAATTTGAAACGATTTCACATACAGGACTATAAATTTGAATTTTACTTGTTTAAATAAAAATAGCAGAAGGGTGTACAGAGTGGCCACAGCGGGTCAAGTGGCCACGTCGTATATTTCTGTTATTAAGTTATCAGCTATTCAGTTCTTTTTCCATATTATGTTTATTATTATCATTATTATTGATTGATAAATCATAAATGATAATAAGATACGCCGTTGATGAGTGATAACAGAAAAACCATTTTGCGCCTAGCTGATGTAAGGTAACAGTTACGTTTAAAAAATGTAATTAATTATTTTATCCACTCAACTACTTTGATCTTTTTTTTTATTGGACAACGCATATTTGTGGATACAATAAAATCAACTTTTGTTGAATTTAACAGTTGCTAAATGATTTACCCAGTAGTTAAAATAATAACTATAAAATGGGGAAAGAACTAATTATTTTCCATTTACGTTCAAGTTATTATAAGTAGATTATTTTTTATTATTATTATAAAACGAATTTTGCAATGTTGACTACAAATACTTGTAATAATAATAATTATTATTTACATGTTTTATAGAAAAAGATTTGTATTTGTGTATGATTTTGTTGATTGAATTTATTAAAAGATTTGATGAAAAATATTGTGTTTTGATTCAGTTAAAATAGAAAAGTTACTTTAGGAAATAATACGACAATATGTTCTGGTTAAAAATAAAAATCATCTACTATTGGGCAAAGTGGACATAGCATGGCCAATTTACCCTATGTGGGTGGACAAAGTGGCCAGTTTCATATGTAATTAAAAAAAAATTAACTAAATTAGCTAAAATATAATTATAATTGCAAACAATGATGTCCAACAAGTCAAAGTATACATTCCCATAGTAAGTAGACGAAAAAAAATAAAAAATCTAAGTTTGAGTCGATAAATTCCCTTAAGGTGGCCGCTTTACCCACCTTTCCCCTACATTTATCTACATCAAATTAATTTAGCATTTAACTCAATACAGATTGGGTGGTTCAGGTTGTAGTTAAAGACGATTAAAACGGGTTTACTTTTAAGGTGTTGTTATGAATTCGGTTACAAAACGAGTGAGAAAAAATTCTCAGATAAAATATTCTCGTTACCGTTGTGGGGTTATATATTTATAGGTCATTACGGTTTTGCGGTCGTAATGACCGGAAGGATGGTTCTTATGCGACCGCAAATTGAAGCCACGACGACCGGTGAGACTTTATAATAGACCAGCCTGGTCTCCGATGTAGAATACTTTGCGCTCTCACATGGAATCGATTCCTTTTAAATGTAACTTCATTTGTTCGTCGCCTCATCATAATTATATGTGCGATTTAAACGCGCCATTGAACCTAACCGGATTACACGCGATAAACGGAAATTAATAGTCGTCTTTTGAGGTATTTTTGTATTGATCATACCCGGCTGTCGCATAGTCTTTAAATTAATATTATTCCCGGTCCTTTGTGTCTCAGACCGGACTTCGGTTAATCCCGAATCGCTCGGGCTGCGGATTAAATCCAGGATTGGGCAAACGGTTCGACCAACAATATCTGAGGTAACCCTTTTCAGCGACTCGTCCTAAAACGATGGCTACGTTTATCAGAAATTGTTTTATAATCGCCCCACGGTAAATATCATTATTGTGTGCCATAAAATTAAATGGAAAGCGCTCATATTATAACGCATAGAGTAAAAACGTTTACTCTAAACCGACCAATATTGCCAAAGATCCGTCAGTTAATTATTAAAAATCACTTCTTGATACTGTTCAGACGCTAATAGTGATTTAAATTTACATAATGCATTTCTCGTTTACTGTTTCTATAACACAGAACCGTTCCTCTTAATTCATAAATAATATAATAATTTTAATAATCATGCATGAATATTTTCTATGCATTAAACCAATATCAGACTCCCATCAAACCTTAACAAACATTTTAGACTAATCGATCGTATTTCCAAACCGATAAACGATAAATTATGTATTACGAGATGACCAAGGACTAATATAAATACACTAACAACGGATTAAAATATCCACAAAAATTATTTATACCAAAAGCTTCTAATATTTATGACCGCAAAA